CCACCTGTTTGTATGCCCTCCCACCTTCTTCACCGCCCCACGCACCAGCTCCTCGTTGTTCAAAGTGCTGGAGGCCAAGGCTGAGGTGATGCCCGCTTTTCTTGACTGGACCAGGGACTGAGGCGGGGAAGACACGAGGGAGTCACGGGGTTGATTGACACCATGAGATTGTCACCGAGAGCAGCATCCACAGCCACAGTTTGGGGCCACCAGCCAGAGTCAAGCCACAGCCATGACGAATAGGACACAGGTCATGGCAGCAGGAGCAGAGCCAGCAAAGAGTTGGGAAGTGACAGAGGCTCTGGGTTACAAGGGTCCCTGGAAGGTGAGCAGCCCCACACCCTTGACTCACCCATCCCCCCCACCATGGACCAGACTTGGCCATGGTCACCAGCCACAAAGCAAAACCACCAGCCATACCAAGGCAGGGAGTCACCTGCTCTCTTCCCTATCAACAGACTGTAGGACATGGCAAGGTCCCCTCCCCAGAACCCATGGATTGTGGCCAGTTGAAAGATTCCAGTACAAGGTTCTGGAAGGGGACTCAGGGACCCAGGTCACCATTACTCACCATGGCCTGAAGTATCCATGCAGCACATAGGATAGAAATCAGATTATGTTAGTCCCAGAGAACACCTTGCAAGCCCCCAACCCCAGGTCTGCCATGGGCAGTTGTACAGCTTGAGTACTGGGGGAGGGGAGGACACAGGCACTCACCAGGTCACTCACGAGTGGAATGGGCTTCCTCTTTCGGATGTCAGGCATGCTGTCGATGATGATGAGACCACCCCCTGGGCTGTAAGACACATACAGGGATGTCAAGGACCCAGGAAAGTCCCCCTTCCTCCAACAGACATCACCTGAGGCTGGAGCAGAACATGGGATCTCCCCAGGTTAAGGGTTTAATTGTGTCTCCCGCCCCCAAAGATACATTCAAATCCTAACCCCCAGGACCTCAAAATGTGACCTTATTTGGAAAGAGGGTGGTTGCAGAGGTAATTAGTTAAGATGAGGTCATACTAGAGTAGGGTGGGCCCAAATCCAATATGACTGGTGGCTTTATAAGAAGACAGACACACAAGGAGAAGACAGTGGTGTGACAATGGAGGCAGAGATTGGAGTGACACGTCTACAAACCAAAGAATACCAAGGATTGCCAACAACTACCAGAAACTGGAAAGGCAAGGAAGGACTCTCCCCTGCCCACACCTTGATTTTGGAATTCTGGCCTCCAGAACTGTGAGAGAATAAATTTATGTTGTTTTAAGCTCCCTGTTTGTGGTCGTTTGTCATAGTGGCCCCAGGAAATGAAGACACTGGGCCTCAATTTCCTTGTCTGGTAGATGGGAGATGATGCAGCTGCCCACAGTTAATGAAAATTTGAATTAAGGGAAACCCAAATAATATACAAAAGTATCAATGACACCTTTATGATCAAAATTGGAAATATATGCATCTATTGAAAATCGATCCTGAAAGGAGTGATTTCAACTCCGCTGGGAATGAGGAAACTGCAAATTGTGTTTGTGTTCTTGTCTCTTGGCAGTTTTGCAGCAGCTGGAGGATTGAATGAGCGCTGTGGCAGGAGCCCTAGTGGCCTGTCCGAATTCACTTTACTAAAAGGTGCACTCATCCCAGAGAAGGTTCAGCTGAGTCTCCTCTCCAGAAGGTTCTCACTGGCCAATGAAAGAGATGCCTGGCTGCTAATCACTCTTGGACAAGCTCTGGGGTGCAATTTATGCTCCAGCACCCCCTGCAGGATCGGGCAGAGGCCTGGCGACTTCTAAACCACATCTCTGCTCAAGTTTCCCCTGCCTGACCCCACCTGCCACACAGGTGGCTCCTGAGAAAGTTTCTTCCATTTCTTCCATCAGTCACGCCCACATGAAGCCCCATCTCAGTCTCTGCTTCCAGGGCTCCCCACCCAGCACATCTGCTCATCTGGGAGTCTCCCTCTGTTTGCAAAGGACCTATGAGGGAAGGAAGCCACTCTCCTGCTGCTATTTTAAAACATTAGTGTAATTTAAAAATATCTTTTGCATCCTCTAACCTCACTATCCAAAGGCTGAAAAAACACTTCTGAAAAGCAGCAACTTAAGAAGTTAGATGTGACAAAATGCTCCATTTAAGACCAAATGACTATCGTTAACAAAAGCTCCAGCAGTCGAAGCAATAATCTGGGAGATTTAAAAGCAGAATCAAAGCGGGCCGGCTGAGTGGCGCGTTGGTTAAGAGCTGGCTTGGGAAGCCAGCTTTGAGCAGCAGCCCCAGGTTCGGATCCCATATATGAGAGGCAGTGACACTGCCCTCACAGCTAAGATGGTGAACAACAGCTTGACTTGGAGCTGGGCTGCCATGAGTTGCCGGCAACAGCGTAGGCTGCAGTCCCTGCTGCAGTGGGCTGCCATAAGCTACCGTGAGTGGCCAGCAGCCAGCATGAGCGGCTGGCAGCTGGTGTGAGCTGTCAAGAGCTGCTGTGAACAGCCATCCAGTGGCTGGTGACCGATCTGCCTCAGCCGGGAAGAGTGCAATGATAATATCAACATGGGCCAGTGAAGCAATGTCCTCTACAACTAAAGGACAAAAGGACAGCAACTTGTCTGTTCCCCTTTCCCTGATTCCCCAGTGCTGTTCCCCTCCCTCAATTCCCCAATAAAATCTTTAAAAAAAAGCAGAATCAAAGCAAAACATTCATTCCAGGGTTGCAGATGGGCATTGCAGGAAAATGGGTTTCTCCTTTATCTCACATTTATTTCTAGGGGGAACCAGTAGAACTATGCAAGTGGCTTGGGCAAGGCACATACCCTTCTGGACTCAGTTTTTCCATCTGTAAAATAGAGTAATGGGCTCCCCGTGGGTTTGTTGTGAAGGTTCAACATATTACCATCTTTGGCTCTGAATGCCTTATGACAGTGGTCCATTATTTCACCCATGTCCAGCCTGTGTCCTGTCTAAAGGAACCTCTCCTTGCCCTTGCTGGGCTGAGGCTATGGTACAAACCAGCCTTGAACTCTAGGTCCAAAACTTCCTTCCACCCCCAAAGCTCTGTTACTCACCCGCCTTTGAACCACAGGGATTTGGACATCTCTCCTTCTCCCCGGGCCTGCAGGACAGAAAGACAAATGTGGTCAGTGTGGCCACCCCTCCCTAGAGTAAGGCAGGCTCCACACCCACTTCTGTCTTCTCTTTGGGCCAGGAGTTCTCACTGTGTGTCCTTAGGAAGCTCACTGGTTTTCTCTGGGCCTCAGTTTGTCCATCTGTAAAATGGGGAGAGAGGAGCTCCTCTCTGCCACCAACCTCAGTGGATGCTGGTCTCCTTGTCTGTCAAACCTCAGGATGTGTTAGCATCTTTCCAACAAGAGCTCATACTTCTACAGTCTCCTGGAATTCTCAGGGGCTGGTTCATCCAACACTCATAAGAGTCTGTCATTTCTTAAACTCCATGCAGCCTCACCTACTTGTTTGCTCTTGTGCCCCAGGGCCTTTGCCCAAGCTGTGCCACCTGTTTGTATGCCCTCCCACCTTCTTCACCCAGCCAGCCTCCACTTATCATTCAGGTCTCAGTGTAGACCCAGGCTCAACAATTCCGTGCAACTAAAAGGTGGCATAGTTGGAGGGGGACCGGGGAGGGTCCAGCACTCTGTTCTGAAATATTATTGAAGTATTTTTAATACTTTAAGTGTCACCTCCTCTAGGGAGTTTTCCTGATTGCCTTGGATTTGTTTTATGTCCCATCTATGAAACTCAGAGAGACCACACATGTTTATTTTTCTTGTCATATTAATAGTTCCATTACAAATAGGTCCATTTCATTTAATTTTCTGATGTATTGAAAGTTATGAAATACTTTTCGCTGTATACTCTTTTCTACCTTTTGAATTCAGAGCCATGTGACTATTATTTAGTCAAAAAATAAAATTCTATTTTAAAACTAATAAGAAATTTGATTTGAAATTTCTGTGGCTCTGATGTTGGATGGTTGAAAACTTTGGGAGTGTGATTAGGATCCCCTCTTGCCAGCCTCACCCCAATTTGCAAGTTCCGCCAGGATAATAACACTGCCCTGTCTCCAGCCCAGAATGGGTTGAATGACTGAAGGAATAAGTGAATGGTTTCAATCCTGTTCCCTATCTGAACAGTCATCATTCTGACCCTGATGCTAATTGTATCTTTAACCGATTCCTTCTCTGATACTGACCCAACCCCAGACCTTTTCCCAACCCTGACACTGACACTCAATGTGATCCCAAGCACTGACCTCTTCTCCTAACACCAATTCTAACCCTGACCTCTGATCTCTGACTACTGCCTTAATCCTGATCTCTATCCCTATCCCTAACCTCTGTCCTCCATGAACTTGACCTCTGACATGGCTGTAACCATGATCTAGTTCCAGGTTCCAGCTCACCTCTCCTCTTTCCCTGCTAAGAAATTCCAGGCTGGTGTAGGTGAGCTGGGCTGGGCCTTGGTTGGGGGTGAGGCCAGGAATGGTGAAGCCAAAGCAAGGGCAGGAGAGGGTGGCCAGGTTGGTGTGGGCGGAGCCATGGAAGGACCAGGATGTTATAGAAGCATATGCATGGTGGATGGGGTGGGGAAGTGGGCATGGCCAAGCTACCTATAGGGCGTGGCATAGACTGGTATGGGTGGGGCATGGGAGGAGTGGGGGGAGGGAGTGGGCATGGCCAGTCTGAGCAAGGGCATGGGTGTGAGCTGGCCCAGGTTCCCACTCACCTCCTGCAGCTGCAGCCGCACTTTGTTGAAGGCTCGAAGCCAGTTGGCCTTAGCCCTGGTCATGGAGTCCTGACCTTCCTGGCCTTCCTCATTTTGCAGCCTGAAACTGAGGCAAGGGGCATCCTAAGGCTCCAGCGATGGGCTCTCCCTCCACCGTCTGCCCTCTGAGTGATGCCTGACCCACTATGTCCCAACTGTGCCCCTCTCTGACCCGTCTCAGTGCCCCTGCCCCCTTCCCACATGCCCACTACCACTCTGACACCTTTGGATTCCCTGGATCCCTTTTTCATCCTCCTGGCCACTCTGACCCCTTGTAATCCTATTTGCCCAGGGTCTTTCCAGTGCGTTTGTGACTTCTCCAACCCCGGCAAACCATCTGGCCCCTCACAACCCCTAAGACTCTTTCATGACCCTGCTTGACCCCCTCTGACTCCCCTGAACCCCCTATGATCTCCTGGACCTATCCTGATCCCTTCGGTGAACCCATGGCCCTGTGACAACTTCCCTTCCCCATTCCCCAGGTCCAGGCTTACTCCATCATGGCACCACTGACCACTGACCACCGTGACCTTGTGGTAGCCCCTTGACCCCCTCCCATTACCTTTCCTCCGCCTTTGGGGGCTCAGCCTCAGGTGCCCGCTCAGCTGCAGGCACTTCCTCGGATGTGGGTGTCTTGGGGGCTGCCTTGGCCACATCGGGGGCCTCGGCAGGCATGACCGGGGCCTTGTCCTCCTTCTCGGGAGCGGCTGGAGGGAGACTGATGCGCTTAAAGTCTTTGGGCTCAGCCACAGCTGCCTCGTGGCGCTCAGCATAGCCACGGATGTCATCTGGCACCTCCTCCTCCTCCTCCAGCTCCTCCTCATCCTCAGGCAGCTCCTCTTCCTCCTCGAGGAAGTCCTCCAGGTCTTCATCCAGCTCCTCATCCAGATCCTCGTCCAGCTCATCCTCGTCCTGGTCCCAGCGTGGTGAGTCCTTGTGGTAGCTGACCGAGCTGTGGCAGGAGTGGTAGGAGTCCCGGTCCCTCTCATCCTCCATCTCGGAGCCCTGTAGACTCTGCTCATCTGGATCGAAGTCCTCACTCAGCTGCGAGCTTCCCTGGCTCAGCTCCCCCGAGGAGGCATAGCGGCTACTGCCCGTTGGGCTGTGGGGACAGGCGGGTCTCAGGGGCCAGGCACAGAGCCTCTGTCCTCACAGCCCCAGTCACACAGATCCATCACCCAATCATTCACTCAGCATTGCTTGGGCACCTACTGTAAGCCAGGCCCTGCTGTAGGCACCAGAGAAACATAGCCATAAACAAAAGAGACAAAAATCCCATTCTCATGGCATTTATGGTCTGAGGGAAAGGCAATAAACCAGATCAATGATATCACTGATCATTATGACCTACTGTGCATCACTCCTGTCCGTGCCCTGTGGGAGCTGCAAATGCTCTACCCACGTGCTGGGGACCCTGAATCCATGTCCTTGCCACAGCCCCTTTAGGCCCTAGGGCTTCTGAAACTTGAACATGGTTGTACCTGGCTCTTGGTGTCCCCCCACCTCAACTGGTCCTCCCACCACCGAGACCCTCCATTCACCAGGGACTGGGGTCTTCCTGCCTCCACTCCTTGCCTCAATGTCTACTCATAGCCGACCCTGCCATGGGTCCCCTAGGCTCCACCTGCAAACCTTTGCTGAAATGCATCCAGTTCTCTGCAGCCTGGGCCCCACGCTGGTCCCGGCTCTCCCATCTCCACAAGATGCTGTCCCAATATCCACTCCTGTCCCTGACAGTCCCTACTTCTCGTGGAAGCCACAAAAGGGTTTCTTCAAACTATAAACCCTACCAGGTTCCCAAGTGCCCTTGAAATAAAACCTGTGCCATGCCCTGCACCCATGTGTGGCCCAAACCCTCTAACTTCCCCACCCTCCTCTCCTCTGTCCCTACTTCCCTGCCCTTGCTCTAGCCACATCGGCCTCCTTACTATTCCTCCAACACCCTAAACTTGTGCCCAGGCCTTTGCACTTGCTATGCCCTCTGCCATTAACACCCTTCCTTGCTTGATTCTCGACCCACCTCTGCCACTAAATGTTTTACCTTGAGTATGTCATTTTGTGTCCTTGGAGCTAAAAAATAAAGCGGCTAGACTAGATGCTTGGTCTAAGTCCTTTACAAATAATCAACCTGTTTAATATCATGTTTGTTATTGTTCTGTTTGGAAACCAAACCTGGAGCAAAAAGGTCAGCGAGGAGGTGTGGAGGCACAAGTTTCAGCCTCCTAGGATCAAGCATCAGCACACTGCACCAAGCAGTGGGGTGGCCCATGGGAGTCAGGGGCCCACCTATTGGACAGGTGTAGGGACAGCCTACTTTCAAAGGAGTGGGATGGTGGCTAGATGGAGCAGGGCCAGCTCCCAAGCCACTATGCCCATGCCTGTTGGTCAGGAACAAAGGATCAGAGGCCACCAGAGGGCTGGGCAGGACCACCCAGGGACCAGCAGCCAGCTGCTGGCTGGGATCGATAGGGACGATGACATCACTATGCCTCAAACACCCAACTAACAGTCATGTCTTCCTCCACCTGCTCCCTTCCCTGCCCAGTTAGAGACTATATGGAGACCAGTGGCTTTTGAAGGGAGTGCCCCCACATTTCAGGGGGACCTTTCAGGGGCCTCCAGACTTTCCTCTTTCTTCAACCAAAGCAGACCCCCTTTTATCAACCTTGTGGAGTTTTCTTGCAAATTTGGGTAAAGCAAGGGCTCTACTGCCTACAAGAAAGCATGAATACTGCTTTTCTAGACCCACTACCTACAACCCCAGCTCCCTCCAGCCCCCTATCCATCTCTCATTCCAGAAGAGAGAGTTGGTTACACACACACACACACACACACACACACACACACACACACACACACACACACATTCCACCTTGGCTACCTGAGGGCCCGCGGCTCAGAGAACTCCTCATAACTGTGCATAGAGTCACTGTAGGATTCCCGAGAACCCAGAGGTGGTGGACGAACAGAATACTGGTGGACTGAAGCATTGGGCTGGGACGTAGTATAATAGGGTGGTGGTATGCTGTTGCTTGTCTCACTGCGGTAATCACTGTCACGATCGTCCACTGCACTGTCAGGGTCATCATCTGGAAGAGAGAGGAGGTGAAAGGAGAGAGGGAGGAGGAGAGGGAGAGAGAGAGATTGAGAGAGAAAAAACAAATACAACAGGGGCCAAAGCAGTATCTCAGACTTACGGAGTCTTTGCTGGCTGCTAACCCAAGAGGAATCTTTACCAGAATTAATGAAGGAAACTGGGTCATGATAATAGAGGTACAGGCTTTAGAATAAGGGAGGTGGAAACCCTGCTTTGCCTTATGTGAGTCAAGGGTCCAGGGTAGGTCCTACAATATGAGGAGGATGGTGGCAAATTGGAGGATGTCTTACAACTCCAATGTGAGGATGGGCTTTGCCAAAGTCCAGGCTCTCTGAAAACAAGATGGATTTTCCCATCAGACGGTGAGCTTCCCATAACAGGAGTCATGCAAACACTCAAAGAAGTTCGGAGGGAGATTTCTTGATATCTGAGAATGCAGACCCCAGATCTGAACTCATATGCACAGGAACAAAGAAGAGGCTCTGACAAGGTGCCATCTCCCTCAAAAAGGATTAGACCCTTAGGTTAGCAAGACCACCACACACCAAGAATCTATTGCTAAAATGCAACAGGGTGGGGTGGGGTTCCAACTTCAAGTTTTTAATAAGAATTAAAGGATGTTTTACTTTAGTTTGTTTTCCTTAGTAAAAAGAAAATAGCGTTGAGGGATGTTAGATTGTGATGGGACGAGAGAGACTATTTCTTTGGAAAGCAACACTTGGGTTGAAAACAAATAAGCTACAAAAAAAAAAAAACAGAAAAAGAAAAGAAAATTTAAACCCCTGACTGGGTAGCCCATAGCATCAATTTACTGGTGATTTTAAACATCAAGGGGGTGGCTTGTGCCGTTTCATGCCTTTAAGTATTTTTGTTCATTTCCCAGATGTTTGTCTATTTTTCTTGCTTTATTATATTAATCTTCTAATTCTTTTTTGGCTAATTGTGTCTGTTTCTATATATTCAACAAATAGGTCCAATTTTTTAAATGCAGTAAACTGTTAAAAAATTAATGGCATACTTCATGTAGAATGCTATTTGATTCATTCCCTAAGTTATTTTACCTTTAGAATAACTTTACATTCACTTTCAGCTAGCAAAGCCGGCCCGACCAAGGTAACTCTGGTTTCCCGCTTTCTCCTTTGATTTGGGCCACTGTGACCTACAAGCTTTTTATCCAGTCCCCGTCGTACACGACGACCCTCTGATGTGCTGCGTGCCATTAGCACTGAATACTATAGACAGAGGCAGATGCAAATTTCCACGACTTAGATTTGTGGGCATCAGGGTGAAGCTGTGATCCTCCTGTACAGACCTGAAGTGAAGGGTCTGAAGCCTGGACGATCCCCCCGAAGCTCAGGAAATTTGTCAATGTCACCAAATTGCTCCCTGATGACTGGTTTTCTACCCAATTATCTAGGTCTTTGGCCAAACTGGCATTCTTTCTACCAAACTGTCCTTGACCAAGCCGAGATGTTTCCAACCAAATCGCATGAGGCTGTATGTGTGTTCACCTGATTGTTTTTTTCTGAAAACTTATCTGGTTTTGAGGGGCAAATTGCTTTCCACCAGATTCCTTTTGTTTTTGCCCAGACTCTTGTTATTTACCAAATAGTTTTTAACCAAATTGTTGCATCTGTGTTTTCAGACAATTGTGTTTCCACAAAAGGTTCTGCTTTTGGCCCAATGATCTTTGCTCTTCACCCAATTATCAGCTTTAGCCAAATTTGTTTTAACCAAAACCATCTTTGTTTGTGATGGTATTGCTTGTTTGTGGCAAACTGGCTGCTACCAAGTCTTCTTGTCTGCCCAATGCCTATTCTGGCCCAATAGATTTCTGACCGTCTTGTTTGTAACAAATTGTTTTGGATCAAAACAAGGTGTGAACAGTTTCCCTGCTCCTGGAGGGAGTGGGGAATGGAGTTTGTCCAGCAAGTGGTGGAGGAGAGAGAAGAACGCAGATTCATGCTCAGACTAAAGGACTAGATTTCTCTGGAAGAAGCAGCGCTTCCTTAGGGAGAAAAAATGGGCATCAAATTGGGGAGATGACTTGTCTCCTTCCCCTGGGGGCAAATTGGAGGAAGTCGTGTGTGAGGGGCCTTGGGAACTGAGGTGTCTGGAGTAATATCTGCCTGGGGGTCTTTGCCCAGCTGCTCTTTCAGAGACCCTCTTCCTTCCCTACCCACCACCCTCTCAGTAACATTAGAGCCCATTTCCAAGTGGAGGAGGGAGATGGGGAAACAAAAAGAGGAAAGAGTCACAGGAGAGTAGATGAGGTTATACATGGGGAGTGGGGGGAACATGGGGTCACAGTGCCCAGCTGGAGACAGGCAGGTCTCCCATCTAAATGCCCATCCCTCCCAGCTGAATCTTCCCACCCCCATGGCAGTGCCCACTCCCCACCAGACAGAGCAGGATCCCCAAGACAGATGTTAATGGTCAGGGGGTGGGAGTGCACAAAAGGGGTCTTGTCACTCCTCTGGTCCCAACGTGCCAGCCACAGGCTCCCCGCTTCCCTGCATGGTGGCACGGGGGCCCACTTCCCCATGGCCTCCCAGAACATCAAACTGAGTACTTACTCTGCTGCTCACCCCAGCCAAAATAATTCCAGTTGCCTACAAAGAGAAGGGGCAGAGATAATAAAAGGGAGCAGGTGGGGAGACTAAAGAAGGGGTTTTTCCTATCCTCCACATTCTCCTTATCTCCTCTTACCAACCCAGGACCCCGACCTCCTCCTACCCTGAGTATCTCCCTCAAGTATCACTTTAACCACTGACAGTTGTCACACCTTCACTCATCACCTTGGGAGGAAGGTGGGATATCCTCATTTTTTGAGGAGGTCACAGGCTCAGCCAGGAAGTAACAAAGAAGCCATTTAGGACCAGAGTTTTCCAACTCTGAAGTCTGGGGTCAGCACTCCCCACTCCTTCCCTCCTCTATCTCGTAAAAAAGGAAAGAAATATTGAACTGGAAATCCTAAATTTTAAAACACCCCAGTCGGATGGGTTTTTAGCATTCTGCTCATTGTACAGGTGAAGAAATGGCTCAGAGAGGTAGGGTGAGCAGCCTAAAGTCACACAGCCTCTGATTGTCAGGGCCAGGGAGAGAACCACATCTCTCCACATTATCCCCAGCACCTGGCATTTTGGAAAAACACCTTGGACCAGACTTCTGATTCCTTTTGGCTGCCTCCTCCATGAAATGGGGGTAATAAAACATTCCCAAGAGGACTTGGAGGTAAACGCTGGGTGATAGGTCTCCATTCCCAAATTGAACCCACCCTTCACTTCAGTCCACCTGCCCAGGTACTCTTTGTCATCTGCTCCTGCCTCTACCTTGCCTGGCCCTGCCCCAGCCTCTGCCCCTGCCCCTACCCCATCCACAATCTTCAATAACCCCATTCAAGGGGGGAGGGGTTTGTAATTCCTTCTGGGCAGTGATGACTCCCCGCAGACAGGGAAGTCAAGGGACTTTTACAGTATCACACCCCAAATCAGGGCAGAACAGGGTCTCCCAACAGCAGTCCCCCAGCCCTTCCTCCCACTAGGCTCCATCATCACCATCCTGGGCTTATGGGGGTGGGGTGGACAATAGGTACAGGAGAGACTGTGAGAGAGGAGGAAAGGGGATAAGGGGGCAGATGGAACAGGAGAAAGAGGTTGAAGGGCGGGGCAGGGGCAAAATGTCATGGGTGTGAGTTCTGCCCTGGGACTCTATGATTTGTCACTTCCTCCCCACTCCAGAGGACTCGGGGAACTTTTAGGAGAGGGACACTTCCTTGGCCCATGGAGACACGATCTGGGTGCATCTGAGTGTCACTCTTACCACAAGAAGCATAAATAATCTTGAAAACTCCAGCCTTGATGCAGAGGCATACGAGTAGGCAGAGGAACGTGCTCATCATCAGCATTAAGCGATGCCGTGCAGGGGAAAGCGTCCCTCAGACCTGGTTTCAAATCCTGGCTCTGCCTCCTGCCAGGTGTGTGACCTTGGGGCAAGTTGCTTCTCCTCCTGGGCCTCAGTTTCTTCATCGAAGTAAATGGGCGAATGAAACAGCCTTCGTCCATTGTACAGGTGCTTACTGTTCGTGTATGGGCCAGACGCCTATCAGCATCTGCCTGCACCCTGTAACTGGGCTGCTTGGGGCGGGGGGGGGGGGGTTGTCTGTGTTGGCCCCATGAAAAGTTGGTTGAATGAGTTATAGGTCCTCATTCAGAATTTGATTAATGGAATTAAAGAGTCTACAAAACATTTTTTAAGCCTCTAGGTGTCCTGGGTCCCCTCAGAGTGAAGGTCTGTCAGATGACCCATTTCAAAGAGAGTGACTCTAATGATCAGGGAGGGACACTGGCACGCCTGTGGCCACCAAGCAAACAGGACTCAAACCCAAGTCCCAGATCTCTTCTTTCCACCACATCATGAGCCGATACTTTCCACTCTTAGGACCCATGTCTCTGGAGGGGAGTTGACCTGTTACATACAACAGCCATGGGGTAGAGAGGAATAGAGAGATACTTACAACACTGGTTGCTGGGGACAGGGAGAGGCTTGTCTTGTTCATCTTGGAATGAATACTGAGGGGAGGGAAGGAGAGGGGGTTCATCTCAGAGCGGGGCCAGGAGCCAGGAGACCACGATAGCCCTCTGTTGTGTTCCATCCTGACTTCCCTGTGCCCCCCCCAAAATCCTCTCCCTCTGGAGGAGAAGGATATAGATGTTCACAGAGAAAGAAGGAGGGAGAGAAATACACAGAGACAGACAGTGAGAACAGATATAGAAAAGAGAAAAAGAGACACAGATGAGGGGAAGAAACAGAGACAGAGACAGAGATAACTGATGCAGTGAGCTGAATAAAGAAGATGAGACATGAGGCTGGACAAAAATTCTGACATGTGAACGTCGCTCCCTTGCCCTCCACCTTGCACTAAAGAGTGCTTTAATCTTGCCCGCTGTTTCTTCCCTGCCCTCACATTCTAAAGGCTGGCTTCTGGGCCACACTGGGTCTCTGCACTGTGGGGAGAGAGCTAAGAAGAAGAACAGGGTGGCATAGAAGAACAGAGGTACAGGGGCTAAGGCAGGTGGGGAGGAGAACTTTTAAGAAAGCCTGAGAGTGTGACTGGAGGAATTGAGGGGTGCGGGGACTGAGAGGGGGTGTGAGAGCTGCTTCAGGGCCCCTGTATCTCCTTGAGGGTGTTTGGCAAATGCAGAGCTTCAGCTGATCAAAATCGTTATGTTGTTAGTAGACTATGTTCCTGGCTGACATTACTGCTTGGAGACTGGACCACATGGGTCGCTGATTTAGTAGAGTTATGAAGAGTTAGACACGCAGACATAGGGAAAGACAAGTGGGGAAATAAACTCAGAGCGAAGGACATGGGGAGACAAAGAGACAGACACGGGAAGAAAAGAGCCCCGACACTCACCTCATCCTGGTCGCGCATGGCATTCAGCTGCTCCAGCTTCTTGGCCCAGTATCGGGCCTCCTCTTCAGGAATGTCTGGAAGGGGAGCCCTGGCTATGAGCCTGGAAGCCCCTGCCTGCCCCTTAGCTTCCATCCAGTGTGTCCTGCAGGCCTACAGGGCTGGTCTCCAATGGTTGTGGGGAGAGGAAGGGAGGACAGGGTGGCTCCCCAATCCCTCCCCGCCCCAGCCATGCCTTGAGAATAAATGGAGGATGTGAGGGAAGATGAATCCTAGCATTACAAGGGCAGGGGAGCTGTGGGTTCCTGGCAGGACAATGTGGGGGAACTGAGCTGCTTCCAGGAAAGGTGGAGAGGACTCTGCATCTCTGCCTTTGTTTATCACTACATGTCTCACTGTGTCTCTGATTCTCCCTCTCTCTGTCTCTCTGCCTCTGTCTGTCTCCTAAACCCAGCTCACCCCTGTAGCTGAAGACCTCACCGAGGACCAGCCAGGACAGCTCAGGCCTGAGACCCATGGGTCAAGAAGCATTTGCTGAGGGCCCCGGTTCGGATCCCAAATATGAGGGCCAGTGACACTGCCCTCTACAGCTAAAGATGCTGAACAACAGCTCGACCTGGAGCTGGGCTGCTGAGTCGCCAGCGACGGCGTGGGCTGCAGCCCCTGTGGCAGTGGGTTGCCATGGGCTACCGTGTGTAGCCAGCAGCCAGCGTGAGCGGCCCTCAAGCCACCGTGAGTGGCCGTCCAGAGGCTGGCAACTGATCTGCCTCGCCCGGGAAGAGCGTAATGATGGTGCCAACTTGGGCCAGTGAAGCAACGTCGTCCTCCACAACTAGACTGAAGAACAAAACGACAGCAACTTGTCTGTTCCCCTTCCCCCAATTCTCCAGCACTGTTCCTATCCCCCCAATTCCCCAATAAAAATCTTTAAAAAAAAAAAAAGAAGCATTTGCTGCCCATTGGTGACCTATAGGAGCTAGAACGTGCTGACTCACTGAAATCCAGGGAACTCTCCTCTGAGGTGGGGAAATCTTGTCCTCAGAATAAGGGTCATCTGGACCCACTCAGACCTAGCCTCTCCTGGGCGAGGGTCCTGCATCTCCTCACCCCCACTCCACCCGCTGCCACTCACCTAAGGGCAGCTCAAAGCGGGTGTCAAGGAGGATGCGGTGGAAGGTGGGGTCCTTGGTGCCACAGATTTCACTGTCCGCCATGATGACCTGGGAGTCCAGGGTCAGCCACTCTCCAGGTCCCTCCTGTGGGATGACAAGGGTCAGGGTACCTGGTGATGTGGAATGGATCAGGTATCTGCTCCATGCCAGCCAGTAGGCCCCCTCTCATGAGATGTCTCCCTCACCCCATTTCACCCCTACCCCAAGAGTAAGGGGCCACACCCCTACTTTACAGATAAGAAAACTGAGACTCAGAGGGAAGGTCCCAGTCCAGGGCAACATAGGGGGTCCAGGGAACCCAGAGGCAAGGACCCAAAGAGAGGGCCCCACCGGCTCATCAGGGGAAATCAAAGCATAACACAGCCACTTCTCATTCCTGATGGGAGTTATGCAGCCCTAGCTTCATATAAAAGCCCTGATGCTCCCACCAGTCTGTAAGGAAACAACTCCCCCACAAGTGAATGAACCAATACCCCTGAGTTCAGGGACATGAGCCCTTCAGCAGGTGGGGTCCACTCTGAACCTCAATTTCTTAATCTCTCAAATAAGAATGATGTTCTGGAATTCGCTTTCTGCAGCTCCAGGGAGAGTCTGGCAGGGGTGAAGGTAGTAGCCCATGGTCCCCTGCATGGGTCATTGCTGCCCCAGGTGACCAGGTCCTCCTCACACTTGGGGGAAGTCACTGAGGAAATTTAGGGTCATCCTCAAAGCTTCTTTAGGGACTCACTTGTCTGGACTATTGCACCCATTTCCTCCCTCTCCATTCATTTATTAAAAAGTAAACTCTTCCTGGTGTCTCCTCTATGCCTACCCCATGCTGGGCAATTTCAGAATGCCCAAGAGGCCCCTGAAAAGCCCATAGTCACAGAAGACAGAGCCTGACACAGACACCCGCTGCCTTATGAGGTCAGGGTGAGGCCAGAGGGAGGCAGGGGAGCTGAGGGATCTAGAGGGAAATGAGGGAGTGCTTCCTGGAGGAGAGGGCATGGGAGCTGAGCTTAGTGGATGATGGAAGGGATACTTGAAGCTCAGGGAACAGCATATGTGAAGGTTTAGAGGCCTTCTTTGGGGCCTATGAGGGATGAAGGTTGGAGTGTGGAGGGAGATGAGGTTGGTAACGTGGACAGGTGCCATCAAGAAGGCCTCCTAAGGAAAATGTGGAGGGAGGGCAGGAAAGGGTCCTTGGAATAATTAGATGCTGCTGGGCTCAGCATGGGGTGGCGGGGGGGACTGAGTAGAGAGGGAAAAACTTAAGGCCAGGAGGCCAAGGTTATTATCCAGTACCTTCAGGGCTGGTGTAGCCTTCATGCTAATTGCCCACAATATCCCTTCCCCTCTTTTCCACAGGAATACATTTTCAGTGGGGCCCAGGGCTGTGCAACTTAAGACTAGATTTCCCAGACTCCTTTGCAGCTAGGTGGAATCACATGACTAAGTCCTGGCCAATGGGATGTGAGTGGAGTGCTGTAAGCAACTTCTGGGTTTGGAAAGCAACCCCCTCACTTGACACCTTTGTCTCCCCTGACGGGAATGCAAATGTAATGGTGATCTCCAGCAGCCATCCTGGGCCACAAAGTAGAAGCACATGGAAAGAAATACAGAACAACAAGATGGAAAGAGTTTAGACCCTGGTGCCTTTGGAGCCGCTACCACAGTCCCAGGTGTCTACACAAACATTGTCAGGGGATGGAGGTTAATTGTCCATTTTGTTTAGGCCACTGTCCTTTGGGCGCCTCCCAGGCACTCTTCCCCACCCCTCAGCTCACCACTCACTTCATTGGACTGGCGGATGGTCCGCAGGGGGATCCACACAGTGCCCACCATCGTGTCCCAGATGAGACCCTTGTTCCACACCTCCACTGTCAGCCCCAAATCCAGGCGGTTAATCTCGCTGTGGAGAGAGGGGAGGGGATAGGAAGGGGCAGGAGTGAGGGAATGGAGACTCAGAAAAGTCAGTTCACTCACCTTAGGACACATAGCCAGCTGGAATTCAAACCCAGGCCTGGGTGAGTCCTAGCCAGGAAGGTAACACAGTGGTTCTTGTTTATAGAGGGGAAACTGAGACCAGAGGGCTAAGTTACATGCTGAGAGTCTCACAGCAGAACCAGGTTCCAAGCTGGGACGGAAGGGGTGGGACAGTGCTCACACATCTCCTGTACCCTCAACTTGCCTGGCCCCTCCTCGAGCCCTCAGACCCTAAGACTGTAGCTAAGCGAGGAAGATGCCCAAACACCCTCCATGGCTCCCTATTATCCCAGGACAAGGGCATTTGGGTTGCCTCCATCCTTCCCAGTGTCATCTCTATCCAGTCACATGGGGACATCTCTGAGTATATGAATGATCTTACCCCTGAGCACTTTCCCTGCAGGCCCCACGTTGGAAATAGGCAGATTTGGTGGGAAACCTTGGTGAATGTCCAATTCACTGAATTTACCAATTTGCCAAAGATTTATCTTAAGGGATGTTTTCCTGGAATATGTCTGTTGACTGTGACCTGGTCATTCAGCAATTGGCCTTTGGGGAGTTGGGGACAACCCTGTCCCTCCCCATTTACATCTTCCCTAGAATTGTAGGGCCAGATCCTCCCTCCATTCCCCCGATGCTCCTCTGCTCCTTGATCCTAACTGGGTTCTCACGTGGCCTCCACCACTGACAGTCTGAGCCAGGCTCTGCTCGGATGTTGAGGGCTGCCTGGGTCTAAGTCGCAGCTCTGCCAGGTACAGGCTATGTGACAATGAGCAGCTAGCTTTGCCTCGTTGGTCCTTTGTTTCCTCATCTGTAAAATGAGGATTACAGTAGCATCCTCCCTCCTGGGGTTGTGGCAACATCAATTTAATCAAAGTCTTAGAAGAGAGTATGGCACATATTCCCACCATCAGAGTAGTTGGGATGTAATATGAGGCCCTGGGTGTCTCCAGGTTGAGAAGCGAGTCCAGGGCATGAATTCATTCAGTGGTTAGGCAAATATTTACTGAGCACCTACTGTGTGCTAGGCCTTGTGCTTGGCATGGAGGTGAGAGTACAGACAGGGACCAACCAGGCCCTACCCTCCTAGAGCTCACAGTCCAGGGGCAGGGGCCAGAAATGTGCCTGAAATTTACACAAAAGACTAAAATAACAATTGGTGGCAAGGACTGAAATTGTTCTTCAATTGCAGCTTAGGGGTGGTGGTCAGGGAGGGCTTTCCTTGGGAGGTGACATGGCTGACTAAGGAAGGATAAGAAGGAGACAGCTGGGAGGATCAGGGAAGGGGCGAGAAGAGCAAGTGCAAAGGTCCTGGGGCAGGAACAAGCTGGCCATGTTGGAGGAACCTTGCAGAGGTGGCTGTGGCTGGGGAGGTGAGACAGGAGGGATGGAGGGAGATACTGGTGGGGGCGGTCACAGGGGCTAGGCCTCTTTGGGGGCTGTGGGGAGGAGTGTGGGTTTTATTCTGAGGTTGATGCTAGAAGCAAGTTTGGAGAGTGACAGGATGTGATTTGCAGTTTTAAAAATATCCCTCTGGCTGCCTGGAGGAGAACAGATTGCGGGAGGCGGATTGCAGCAGGAGGCCAGGGTGGAGGCTGATGGCAGCAGGGACTTGGCTGATGACCCCAGAGATAAAGGGAAGCAACTGGATTCATGAAGTACTTTGGAGGCAAAGCTGATAGGTGAACATAGGGTCTAGGGGGAAGGTGTCGACTCTTCCCAGCAGGACCAGCGAGGTGCCAGTGGGTGAGGCTGTGCATGTCCAGTCAGACTCACAACATGAAATCCTGCTCCCAGCTGGGCTGGCTACCCCGCACTGCGATGGTTGTGCTCTTGACATTCTGCACCTTCAGGGTCACGTATGTGTTGAATTTTTCTGTGAAGGTGAGAACAGGGGTCAGCGTAGAGGCTCAGGACCCCCCATACCCCTTCCCAAGCTCTAGACAACCTGCTATGATCCCCCAGGGGCTGTGTGTGCTTGGGGCCACCCCAGGTCCAATATACTGCACTGCCTCTGTGTGCCCGCCACCCCCAGGCCAGCCCCCACTGTCCCCACCACCTCCAGGCCAGCCCCCAGTGATCCCCCAACCCTTAGTGGAATTTTGGGATGACTAATCCTGCCGCTTAAAAATAACTATGTCCAACAGCCTTGGTTTTTAGCTGGGACACTGAAGCCTGGGACGGGAACAAAAGTGACTATAAGAAACTCCCTTATCTCTCTGACCTTCACTTTCCCCACCTGGAGCCTGATCTGAGTCCCCACCCTAACTCTCAGGATCCTGGGAAGGGCCATTGGCGCAGGGTGAGCCACATCCCCCACCAAAGTCTTCAGGGAATGGCTGGAGAGACTGCTGGGACCTCCCACCCCAGACAAGCCTGACATTCTCCATGATGCTCAGCAGACACAGAGCTCAAGTCTCCCCCTCCCCAACTCAGACCCCCTCCCTTGTCTCTCCAAGAGATAGACAGACAGACAACACAGGACAGGACAGGTATAGAGGCCACTTACCTTGGGCACCATCAAACTTGGCTTTTTTTACTGTGGAGAGAGACAGAGATAGGGAAAGGAGACAGGGAGAGAGGAAAGGAGGAGAGACAGAGGCACGAAGAGACACACCAAAATAAAGGTATAACAAGAGACAGAGAGGAGAGAGACACAGAAAGAAACAGACAGAGAGAAGACAGAGGCAGGGATAGGGAGCAAATACATAAAGAGACCAAACAGGGGAAAAAAAAAAAAAAAGATAAAGACAAAGGTGAAATCAGAGACAGAGACAAGGAGAGGAGGGGAAATAGAAGAGTAGGGAGGGAAGGAGGCAGGGATGAGAGAGAGAGAGAGAGAGAGAGAGAGAGAGAGAGAGAGAGACCATCAGACAGATGAGTAGAGGTAGACCTAGGGGTGCAAGGAATCTGGACCCTGGGAGCAGTCCCTGCCCCTCCTCCCTCCCTGAACCTTCTTCCCTCCAGCTATGCCTTCACCCTCAATTACACAAGATTCCAAAGAAGGAGCTGGGTGGATGAGAGGAGAGGCTTCCTACAGGAAGCCCTCCAGGATTGCTGCAGAGGGAGGAGGACGGTTGGAAAAAAGAGGAGAGACAATCTCCAGTGACCCCCAACCCCCTGTCAAACCAATGAGATTTCTCCCCCAATAGTCTAGCTCGGTCTGTCCTACCAAATGCTCCCAAGGTTTGGTATTCAATATTCAAAGGGGACTGGGGGAGGTGGAACAAAACATCCCAGATAAAGATGTCCCAGTCCTGGCCAGAAGGTTATTGAATCTTGCTCAGTCCCACTTGCCTGTGAAAGGTGCAACCTGAGTATATGTCAGAGTCCCACGTAGTCCAGTCTTTTCAGATTTCACATCACCCACAGCCCCAAGTGATTCAAAGCAATTTCACTCTTCACTGGCTTTTCTCACAGGGTGTTAAACTTTCACTTTCAACATCTCTTGCACCCTGCAGCTGCCCCCAACATCTTTCTCCTCCATTCACTCTCCATCTCCATCTAAAAGCTGACCCCCTCTTATACCCTCAGCCCCACCCAGCCCACAAGGAGCTCACCTGCCCAAACCCTCACCCCTGGGGCTGACAGAAGCTCAGGGGCATTTAGGATTATGGGCACCAGGAGCTCCAGGCCTCCCCCTTTGGGGGAGCTCCAGCTTACAAACCTGATGATTCTGTGAAGTGGGGTGGGGGTGGGGGTGCAGGGGCAGGTCGGGGAGGAAGAATGGTGGGAGAGAACCAGACTGAGAAAGGCGCACACATGGAGGGACCAACACAGGGAGAGAGGAAAAGGAGGGAAAGAAGGGGGTGGAAATAACAAGTCATGAGAATCAGAGACAGACACAGCGAGACAGAAAGAGAGAGAGACATAGATTCCCACTAGGGAGGGCAGGCACAGGAGAGGAGAGGCAGAGTTGGGAGAGAAAAGTTGGAGGGAAGAACCTGATGGGGTAGGTGCAAGGCCCTGGGGAGATAGAGGGGCTGACTGGGGTCTAGCCTGACCTGGCCTGGGCCCCATCCTGCAGCCCCCACTGTGTCCCGTTTTTATAGACCAGGGACAGGGCTCAGAGGGGAGGACAACAAAGTCTGTCATCCATCATCTCCTGGTGGGGGTAGCGAGGGGGTGTCTCTCCCTGTCTCCTTCCTTCCATTCTGTTTCTCTCCACTCCTGTCATTGTCTTCCTGTCTCTTTCTCCCCTTCTCCCTTCTGTCTGGATCTCTCTTGTCTCCACCCCCTTCCTCTACCCACTTTCCTACTCCCTAAGACTCTGAGAGCCAGAGGTAATAGGCTCAGTTGGGGTCCACTGGCAGTGGGAGACTGCTGGAGGGGTCTAGCTATGACAGGGAAGGCCAGGCTGAGGTCCCCAGGTCCCTTCAGGGAGTCCAGGATGAAGACATTAATATATGTTCCTTGTGGGGACTCAGAGGAAGGAGGGGGTACTCAACGTTGGAGAAGGGGCTCAGAAATGAATTGGGGGTCAGGGAAGGAGGCTCAGAGTCGGGAAGAGGGCTCAGGGGGTAGGGAACTCCGAGCAGGCTTGGGGTAGGGGGAGGAGGAGAGGGGACTAAGTGAAGGGGGCTTCGGGAGCTGGGAGGAAGCTCGTGGTGGGGGTGGGGACTCCAGAAAGGGGAGGGGCACGCAGGGGTGGGTGATATCAGGAAATCAGCTCAGGGGAGAAGAGGGCTTGGAGGAAGGAGGGGGCTCAGGAAGGGGCTGATGGGGCTCAGAAAAAGAACCAAGTCTCTCTCTCTCCCCCCTCTGCCTCCCTCTTCCCTCTCAGTAAACGGTCTCCGAGTCATTTTTGCCTTCACCACCATCATCATCACACCTCCGCTGTGCCACCTTCCCCTGCCCGCGCCGGGGTATGGGGGTCACCGGGACTGAAGTGGAAGTGCCCCGCCCCCCGCCGCC